TAGACTGTACACAACTAGTTATTTCATTGGGATATTGTAATATCGCAAACTTTGGAATTCCATATGTAATCAAATTGATGATTCTTACATCTCGTGTAATACTATTCTTCCTCTTAAGGAAACCATTTTCTTTTCCAAGTGTCTATATACTGTATTTAATGTTAATAAAAGAAAAATATTTTAATCCGATTGAAGTTCACCTTAAATTATTGATATATTAATTCCTATGTTGTATTTCTCGATCATTTTTTGATTTATCCTCCGGAAAGTTATTAATTCTCTGATTATTCGAAGTAAGAGAAGAAAGGATATTACTCGTTCAACTATCCAATACATCCATTTTTCATGTGGCCAAATCATTTTGACTCAATTATTCATAAATAAACTTTACAATTAATTTTATAAAACTTTCAAACAAATTAATGACCCAATTTTTAATTAAATAATATGCGAATCCTTAACAAGAAAAGTACAAAAGATCATAGAAGCTCTATCGTCTCGTATAAAGTATACATTTCATGTGCATCGCTCTATTGTGTAGAGTTTACACAGTAATTAAAATCCGCAGTAAGTTTCGTTGGAGAAGATGGAAGATGGACAAAGGAAAGAAAGAGACTGGTCACAAGTAACGAACCGGAAGTCCTCTCGTCACAGTAAGCCATATTCGTCATTCGTCTCCCTCTCGATGGGATTGTACAGCCCTTTTAATTGAACTCTCTAATATTATTGATAACAAGTTTAATAATATGTACATGTACGATTAGACGCCACCGTTTGTAAGCAGTACAATAAAGACGTCTAAAAATCTCGTGGAAATGTAGACGCCATTCTAATGATCCTTAGTCGCTGTACCAAACACGGGCGTTCAATATACTAATTATTTCTTTTAATTATTGTAAGCTTTGAGCCTGGGCGTTGCCCGCCCACACGTGTGTTAAACCTTACTATACACCGACGAACAATAGCAAATTTATCATTATTATATTTATATATATATATTTATTTATTTATTTATTTATATATTTTTTTTGTTTCTTTTTAGAATACTTCACCTAGTAAACGTGCTGACGGCCGTTGAGCTCGTGGCTCAAGTGAACTAAAATTATTGATTCGTTCTTTCCGTGTTCTGGAAACTCTAGATAGAAAATCCCGTTAAATCATAATACATGCCCAGCATATGATGATAATGTATATATGTATACATAAACATATATACACTGGCCCGATATTCCGGCGAGCCTTCAGATCGATCGAACGCGGTTCGAAATTGCAACATGGTCTCGTATTTTGACTAGAATCTTAAAAGTATCATTAAGTCTTAACGAACGCGCCTGGGCGAAGTCGATGAAATACCGTGTCGACGAAAACCTTAACACGTTGACTGCCATGCTGGTCACCGATAACCGAAGCTTCCAAATTACTTGGAAACAATTATAGTTCATAAGATAATTGACGTCGAATAAAAATGTTCAAAGCGTAATTAACTAGATAATAGTATAACGTAAGGATTGAGGCACCAAATAATTGATAATAATCGTTTCTTTTTATCTTTGCCACAAAAGAATAAGTCATACATAAAACACTGAAGCTTTTCGTGATAGTCAACGCGTTAAGCAAGAAAAAGGAAAAAGAAACAGAAAAAAATATAAATGTTGGAAAGAAAAAGGAAACATTTCGAGATTCGACCGTGAGCACGTATTATAGGCGTCGTCGCACGTGTCCCTTACGTTCTTAAGAAGAGTTCGTCGCGTCGTTTTACAAAGCTTATACGCAAACTCGACGATAGACAAAAAAAAAGAACGCTGACGGTTAAGCAACACGTTAGCGTTTCAACTGGTGAACGGAAGGAAAGAAAATTAGAGGGCGGTTAGGGGACGATACAAACAGAAGGTTCGAGGAACATTAAACATCGTTAAAATCACTTACACGCTATTGATCAGGCTACCGTGAACAAGAAAAATTAAAGAACTAAAAAGGAAAACCAGTTCTATTTCAGCTTCCAATACTGAATGCTCGCGAGCCTTAGAATGATAATTATAGTCTTTTCGAACACTTTCGCGCTTGCGATTCCTGAAAGTGTATGTACGTGTGTGCCTTACGCGTGAATCGTTGGGATTCGCGATACCGTCCTCCATTTTGGAAACACTTTTGACTTGTTGCCAGATTCATCATGTTCGATTTCAAAATGAACGGAGTATGTGTTCCTTTTCTTCCGTATTTTTTTGATTTTTTAAATCTATATCGAACATGCCAGTGCAACCGAAAATGGTGAACGTTATCAACAACGGTGAACGGTGACGAAGAAACAACGATATTGTGCAAAACTGCGAAGCAACGCGCGAACACTGTTTAGATGCATCAAACTGTGGGAGCGTATAATATCTACATATACGTATAGAAATGTATACATACATTATATGGCAGGTTCGATTGCTGAAAACGGTTCAGCATGCTCAACGAAAGAAGGCAACGAATGTCGTGTAAACACGCGACAGTCGCTGGAACGTCTCACCGTAGAATTTTAAAGATCTATGTGATCTTAAAATGAATTAAGTCATCGTGAATTGAGAAAGCCTCGTGTTTGCCGCTGTAGACTTCATGTATCAAATGTAACACTCAACATAAGAAAATTAACTATAATGTAATAGCTGCATTATTTATTTACGGTTTTATGATTTTATATTTCCTCATACTTCTATTTTGAATTAGACACTGAATTTCAGTATAATCGCTGTACGACTAGACGTTGCCTTCCGCTAGTTTTTCAAGTCAACTACTTTTCTGGGAGTTCGCACAAACAGGGTATTGCTCTTAGCCGTTAAAAATGTAAGATCTACGTTAGCAGTTCGATACTCGTTAAGAACTAATTGCTGACTAGCAAAGAACAGGAGAAGTGGGCTATGCGTATGTATGTATACAGTGAGGTACAAAAGTATTCGTATGGTAAGCACGAGGAAATAAAATATTCTAGTTTTCATGTTGACAACTGCATTATAGTGTTTACGATAGTATATTATATACAGAATTTAAAAGTAACAAATGTGTAAAAGCAAACTTTAATTATGCTGTAACCTAATCCATGATTAATGTTGTCCCCTATTACTACTGTAATTAACGTTTCACAGAATACTATAACCTTTCCTTTAAATCAATTTAGACATCGCATTCTTACAAAGTCAAATTCAAATTTAAAATTAGTAATGAAAGAATAGTTTATTTCTTTGATTGAGGCTCTTGTTATGTCATAAATAGGATAAAAATCATTTATTTCATTTTATTGCAGTTTAATTATTAATTCTATTATATTTTCATAGTACTATTAGAAATTGTTATTAATTGAATGTTTCAAGCAATAAAGTAATATTTCATTCATTAT